GGGGGGGAAAAAAAAAGGGGTTTGGGGGGGCCCCTGGGGGGGGGGGGGGGGGGGGGGGGTTTGGGGGGGGGGGAAAAAAGGGGGGGGGGGAAAAAAAAAGGGGGGGGGGGGGGGTTGGGGGGGGGGGGGGGGAAAAAAAATGGGGGTTGGGGAAAAAAGGGTTTTTGGGGAAAAAAATTTTTTGGGGGGGGAAAAAAAATTTAAAAGGGTTTAAAATTTTTTTTTTGGGGGGGGGAAAAAAAATTTTAGGGGGGGGCCCCTTTTTGGGGGGGGGGAAAGGGGTTTTTTTAAAAACCCCCCTTTCCCGGGGGGGGGGGCCCCCCCAAAAAAAAACCCCCCCCCCTTTAAAAGAAAAAACCCTAAATTTTTTTTTGGGGGGCCCCCCCCTTTTTTGGGTTTTTGGGTTTTTCCCTTTTGGCCCCCGGGTTTTTTCCCTTTTTTTTTTTTTAATTTTGCCCCCCCCCCCCCTTTTTTTTCCCCTTTCCCCCCCTTTTCCCCCCCCCCCCCCCTTTTTCCCCTCGTGACCTGACTACTCTCTGCCTGCTCCTCCTGTTCCCCACCCGCCCCATTGTTTTTGCCCCGGGTTGCCCGACTAAAGCTCCACTGTATGTATTGTTAACTGTGGTGGTTTGGGTTTGGTGGTTCGGTTGCAACTGTTATGTTTTTAGTATGCCTGCGTTTATGTATTTGTTAGTATTAATAAATTATATTCGTTTATAACATATCTGAAGCCTTGCCTCTGCGTTTCCTGCGTCAGTTCACAATTACAACCTCTGGTCATAACCCAGAGCCCAGACAACACCATTGCATCACTGGTCCCGACTAGTATTGGAATACACACATGTCTTTCTTCTCCCTTAGTGTCTCTCCCTCACTTCAGCTAATGTGACCCCCAGTGTGGAAACGAGAAGGGTGGATGCTGGCAGCTAGAAGGTTGTAATGGTGCACAATGAAAGCCTGTGGCTTTGTGTAAGTAAAAGGCAGGTTTGATCCACCTGCTGGCTTGTAATACAATTTTTGGGCAATTTTTTAGGCATTTTGCCATGGCAACCCTGAAGACACCTGAATGGACCTCAGTGGAAAAAAAGTCTGCTATAAATGATATACTTATTGTTTAATGTCTCAACAGTACACAAATTTGCTAATGTAGCCAACAAATATTTTAATAAAATACATCTTGTTTAAACAAATAAGCTCAGGAAAATGTAGAGCTCAAAGATTACGTGTATCTGTGGGACTGTCGTTATTTTTTGGCAAACATTTGGAAGCATATTTTTGTAAGTAGAAAGGACTGTGAAATAGCTACACGAGCTCAGGTTCTACTTAAGAATGTCCCTTCAATGTTTCATTGTCTAGATTTTTATTTTACACCTGATCATGGCCTCACCAGTTTATGTTTTTAGTTCACATGTATTTCACACAATGGAAAGTTTGTTGTACAACAATTTTATTTACAGATATTAACAAATTTAAGTGAAAAGAATGGATTTAGTCTCTCTCCATCAGATTTAACCCTTTTTTTTCATTGATAGCCAGTAACTATCCTTCTTCCTTGGGCCGTCTTCGTGAAGAGTTTGGTACAGGATTTGCCAATGCTGAGGCTTTAAAATAACTGCCACTTTCAAGAAATAGTCTTAGGACAGAGTTGTTTAGCTGTGTAACAGTACTGGGTTTCTGTGCAATATGAAGGATTCCTGGATGTCCAAATATGTCCATTTTATAAGAAAATACCTGGAAATTCTCCAAGAACTTTTGAGCTTTAATGTAATTGTCTGGTCTAAATGTTCTCACTACTTAGTGGTGGCCTTCAACTTCCACAGATATCTGAAAGCTGTACCAGTTTCTTGCTAGTTAAATGCACACATAGACTTTTACTGTGAGCTCGTGCCAAAGGCACGGGGAGTACAATAGTATCTTGAATATAGGCAGTCCATGCCATTTGCTTGCTTACCTTTACAATTTTAGTGCCTTTCACTATATACAATGTAGATGTTCAGTGCAGATCTCAAATTCTAATATCTCCAGGAGGATTGTCCCTGATGAATAATTTCTGTCTTTTGCTGCATATTTGGAAAGCCTCTCCTACCCATTGGTGGACCTTGTGGGGTTAGACCAGGCGTGTGAAGCAGTGATAACAAAAAGAAGATAAAATGGCTGGTCATCTGGCTTGACTGCCAAGAACAATGCAGCAAATTCAGTAAAAGTATGCTGTATAAAAAATAAATTTCCATGTTAGCCCCTTCCCACCACCGCCTCCCAGCCTTTTAAGAAGTTCTAAATGCCAGGAGGTGGAGGCGGGCATTCCGATCATGTGACTGTGCTGGGAGTGCACAGGAAGCGCGCTCTCGACACAAAAATTTTTACATAGGGGCCCATACTGCATATGCGGCCTCTCCTCTCAGTGTTAACGCTTACCCACCAAAAAGGCCACCTATATGTGTGCAGTTGGCAGGAACAGATTAATAACAGCAGCATTTATGACAAAGTGATGAATTTGCAGTCACAAACCCATGCTCTGGATCAAAACAGATGCTTGCTTAATATCATTCAGTCCTAGTCACCTAGAATGTTTCAAATGAAAAAGCGATCAGATTCTACAATCTTTTATGGGAGCAATGGATGTAAATATAGGAGTCAACTTATCACCTCAATTAGCCAGAAAAAGTCTCTTCTGTGGCCCTCTCTGATTTAATTTTACTTTATTTCTGGGTCCTGACTTCTTGTCTAAGCCCTGCCAACTGCCCTGCCCAATGAGACTTATTCACTGTCCGGTAGGCAGTCTTATTGGATAGTAGAATGGCAGCTGATAGGGTTTAGCAATGTAATGAGTGAAAGTAAGGTCCTGGTAACTAAGTAAAACTGCACCAGAGAGGAACACAGAATGGGATTTTCTGACTAGCAAAGAAACATCGGGCATATTTTCCTGTCTACATTTAGGCAGCAGTTTTTTCATTTGTTATATTCTTTTATATAATATGATCACTTTAAGGCAACTCTGAGCAACATAAAAGTAACATATATGATTTAGTCTGTTTATAGCATTAACACAGCAGTTATTGATTTTCTAAGCCCCCTCTGTAACAAAGTTGTATTTCCCGTTGATTGCATCAGTATACAAGTGGGTAAAATAAGCATTGAACGCATCACCATATTTCTCGGTATATTTCTAAAAGTGCTATTGACATGAAATTTTCTCCAAATGTCGGTAACCACCCCCTTAATACATACATACAAAGAAACCAAAACAAATAAGTTTAGAGATTAGGTTATGAGTAATAAAATGGAATGACATAGGGGAAAAGTACTGAACACATTAAGAAAGGGAGGTGCAAAAGGCATGGAAAGCCAAGACACCAGCTGAAATCTATCAGCAGTTAGAAAGCAATCCTGCCACTTGTCTGGGAAAATAATATCAGCTGGTGCAGTCTCAGCTGATGGCCTATAAAAAGGTGTCTCAATACGAAGGTGTCACACAAGAAACATCCCATGATGGGATTTTAGGGCTCTCTCAAGACCTTTGCAACCTTATTGCTGAAAAACATACTGATGGCATTAGTTATAGAAGGATTCCTAAACTTCTGAATGTTCCATTGAGTGCTGTTGGGATAATAATCTAGAAGTGGAAAGAACATCATTTGACCATAAACTGGCCACAACCAGGTGCTCCTCTCAAAATTTCTGACAGAGGAGTGAAAAGAATTATCAGAAGAGTTGTCCAAGAACAAGGACCACTTATGGAAAGCTTCAGAAAGACCTGGAATTAGTAGGTAAAATTAATTCAAAGAAAACAAAAAGTAATACATTCAACCACCAGTGCCTGTATGCACGCTCACCACGCAAGACTCCATTGCTGAAGAAAAAGCATGTTGAAGCCTGTTTTGCGTTGTTACAGCATTTAGACAAGCCTGTGAAATACTGGGAGAATATAGTCTAGTCAGATGAGACCAAAATTGAACTTTTTGGATGTCATGATACACACCATGTTTGGAGGTCAAATGCATGGTACACCACCCCAAAAACACCATACCAACAGTGAAGTTTGAAGGTCGGAACATCATGGTGTGGGGCTGTTTTTCAACATACGGTACTGGAAAACTTCATGTCATTGAAGGAAAAATGTACCAAGACATGCTTGATAAAAATCTGCTGCCATCTACCAGGATGATGAAGATGAAATGAGAGTGGACAATTCCAACAGGACAATGATCCCAAACACAAAGCCAAGGAAATTTGCAATTAGTTTCAAAGAAAGAAAATAAAGCTGCTAAAATGGCCCAACCAATCACCTAACTTGAATCCAAATAAAAAACTATGGAAAGAACTGAAGATCAGAGTTCATAGAAGAGGCCCACAAACCTTCAGGATCTGAAGACTGTGTGGAAGAATTGGTAAAATCACACCTGAGCAATACATGGGACTAGTTTCTCCAGACAGGAGGCATCTTGAAGCTGTCATTACCAACAAAGGATTTTGTGCAAAGTATTAAATAAATTTCAGTTAGTGTGTTCAATACTTTTTCCCTGTGTCGTTCCATTATATAACACATAACTTAATTTCTGAACTTATTTGTTTTGGTTTCTTTGTATGTATGGATAGCATGAGTTGTTAGTGACATGTGGTGAAAATTTCATGTCAACAGCACCTTTAGAAATATATGTACCAAGAAAAATGGTGACATGTTCAATACTTACCGTATTCTTTGCTCCATAAGATGCACTTTTTCCCCCAAAAATGGGGGAAAATGTCTGTGCGTCTTATGGAGCAAATATGGAGCAGCCGGCCTGGAATTCCCGCTGCCACCATGTTAGAATACTGGGCCGGCCGTTCGACTCTTCTGTGCAACAGAACCTGCTCCTCGGTCCTACCTGTTCCTCGGTCCAGCGGTATCCTCACCATCTTCTCTCCCTGGTGGCAGCATCTTTAGTGTGGGCACCCGGCTGTGACAGCTTTCGGCTTCACAGTCGGGTGCCCACTGCGCATGCATGAGAAGAACTGCGCATTGTGAATGGTTCGGCAGTCTTCTGGGACCTGTCACGAGTCCCAGAAGACGGGGAGGGAGGACAACTCCGCGAAAGTGGGAGCAGTTACCTGTCAAATTCAGGTGCCCGCTCTCCCCCCCCCTTCCACTCCCCAAAGGTCTGCAGACTATGTCCACAGTCTCTGGTCATCTCCTGTACTGTGTCCGCAGTCTCTGGTCATGTCCTGTACTATGTCTGCAGTCTCTGGTCATCTCTTCTACTATGTCTGCAGTTTCTGGTCATCTCCTGTACTATGTCCACAGTCTCTGGTCATCTCCTGTACTATGTCCGCAGTCTCTGGTCAACTCCTGTACTGTGTCCGCAGTCTCTGGTCAACTCCTGTACTGTGTCCGCAGTCTCTGGTCATCTCCTGTACTATGTCCGCAGTCTCTGGTCATCTCCTGTACTATGTCCGCAGTCTCTGGTCATCTCCTGTACTATGTCCGCAGTCTCTGGTCATCTCCTGTACTATGTCCGCAGTCTCTGGTCATCTCCTGTACTATGTCCGCAGTCTCTGGTCATCTCCTGTACTGTGTCCGCAGTCTCTGGTCATCTCCTGTACTATGTCCGCAGTCTCTGGTCATCTCCTGTACTATGTCCGCAGTCTCTGGTCATTTCCTGTACTGTGTCCGCAGTCTCTGGTCATCTCTCCTGTACTATGTACGCAGTCTCTGGTCATTTCCTGTACTATGTCTGCAGTCTCTGGTCATTTCCTGTACTGTGTCTGCAGTCCATTGGTTCAGAATATTTTTTTCTTGTTTTCCTCCTCTAAAAAATAGGTTTGTCTTATGGTCAGGTGTGTCTTATGGAGCAAAAAATATGGTATTTAACCCTCTGTATCCATTGATTTTCCATTTCCTGTAAAATAAAACAAAAACAAAAAAAAACAAGCTGTCTAGCTGGGACATACCATATAAAACAAAGGCCTCATGCACACTGGACATTTTTACAGCTGCTCCTAAGGGATCTAGTGTTTTTTTCCCTGCCTCTAAATTCCCCTGCATGTTATCCTATGTGTTCATGCACACATAAACATTTAGAGGCATTTAGTAGTAGCAGAGTTTAGAGGAAGAAAAAAAAAAAATAACACTGCCAGTGCGTCCAGGAGCAGCAGAGTTTTGGCAGAAAAAATGCTTAAGTGCCAGATCACAAAAATGCTGATTGGATGTAGTTCCAACAGCATCCAATCCGCAGGACATATGAAATTACATTGCTTCCTATGGTGCCTGCTCACATATGGCTGGTGCATTGGCAGTGTGGATTCAGTGCGGATTCCATGCGGATTGAAAAAGAGTCGCATCCAGTTTCAGAGCAGTGCCTTCAGGTTCAGGTGCGGATTACAGTTTGTTGATTTCTATGGGAACCGTTTCTAAACAGCACATGTTATCAGTTGTGAACAAGATAAAATACTGACCTGAACCTGATCTAAACGTATTCTGAACCTGATATTAACCTGCTGAACCACTGAACAACTACTGTGTCAATCAGCTGTGAAAGTGGGTTGGGCTTTGAACCAACAACACTAGTACTGCCAGGCGGAAGTGCTAACCATTTAGGCTCAAGGAGAACTTCACTGCATCAAAGTACCACAAACCAATAAATGCTGTTTAATTCTGCCTGGTAGTACTGGGGGTTATTGGTTCAAATCCCAACCTCAGCACCACCTACCTGGAGTTTGCATATTCTCCCTGTGCCTGTGTGGGTTTCCTCCGGGTACTCCGGTTTCCTCCCACCCTCCGAAGACATGCTGGTAAGTTAAATGGCTCTGGTCTAAATTGGCCCTAGTATGTGTATGTATGAATGTGAGTTAGGGACCTGCATGGCATGAGCGATCTACTGATCGCTGGTGCAATGCTTTCTACACTCCTTTGGACAAAAATAATAAATGCACATTTTTTTACTTGCAAATAAATGTGAATTTATTATTTTTGTCCAAAAGGTGAACTTATCCTTTAATTGGAAAGTTGGCCGCTGACAGAAAAAAAAGATACCGGGGCTATGGCTGATATCTTCAGCCATAACCCCAGTAAACCACTTGCAAAAATACATATATACGGTACGGTAAGTACGGTAAGTGGGTAAAAGCTGTTAACTTTAAAGTCAATATAAAACTTCCCAAGGTGCGGTCTTCCCTGCAGAACAAATGGTGTTACCACCCTGTTAACACCTTCCCGTCTGGCCTATAGCAGATTGAGGGCTGGGCGGGACACTCGCCATTGTGACTGAGTGTCATATGACGTCCTGTCAAAACGAGCTGCTCATGCGGCCGCACAGCGGTGGGATCTGTCACCGATTGTGTCCACGGGACACAGCCAATGACATATCACTACACTGGACCGTTGCCAGTGTCATGTGACCTCTGTGTCCAATCACAGCAGATCACATGTCAATTGTATACAATGGATGGCTTCCTTTCATACCATCCATTGGTCAAGGCAGTCACATGATAGAGACAGGGCCAATCACAGCCCATCTGTATCATGTAATCAGTGTTGCCCAATCACAGGTAATCACAACAAAAGACTGAATGAATCAGTTTCATTCAGTAACAATAATTGCAAATATCAATTAAATACATTGGTATTAGCAATCATAATGTGTTAAAAAAAATAAAAATGGTCACTTGCTCAGAGCAGTTCAATGTTACTATGGTAACATTGTATTGCTTTGGTCACAGTGTGCTCAAAAATAAAATAGTAAAAAAAAGAAAAAAATTTATAAAAAAAAAAAAAAATTATAGAAACATTTGAAAAAAAAATACAAATTCAATTATTTTTATTATTTTCACCAAAGAAATGTAGCAGAATACATGTGACCTAAATGTATGAAGAAATGTTATTTATTCGCAAAATTTTATAACAGAAACGAAGAAAAGTGCGGGTTTTTTTTTTTCAAAAGTTTCAGGTTTTTTTTTTTTATGTTTTATTTAGCAAAAAATAAAAAACTCAGTGGTGATTAAATACCACCAAAAAAAACCTCTATTTGTGTGAAAAAAAAGTATACAAATCTCATATGGGTACAGTGTTGTATGACCGCGCAATTGTCATTTAAAGTGTGACAGAGCTGAAAGCTGAAAATTGGCCTGGGCAGGAAGGGGGTATAAGTGCCTGGTATTGAAGTGGTTAAAGAAGAAGTGAAAAAATAATGAACCAATGGGCATGATCAAAAAGTAATAAAACTATGGGAACTCATAAAAAACAAAAACTGTTGCACTAACGCTATTGACAGACTGCAGCAATGTGACATTTGAAATGTTGCCAATAGTTACACTTTAAAGAAAAGTTGTACACAGAAATCTATGGAGGCTGCAATTCCCGATCACATTAGCTGCCTGGCTCTCATACTGACCATCTGGCTGTAATTCTTTCTTAACAAATTTGTAAAGCAGAATTTTTGACCCCATTCTGACTGTTGTATGCTTGTGTCAGGTCAGAGACTCAAAGTAATGAAGTCAGAGACAGCCAGGTCACTGCTGATGAAGATCAGCAATGGCAGTCCACACATTTCTTTCAGTACAATTCTTATTCAGATATAAAAATAGATGATTAATGATGGAAATAAGCTTTTACATTGCCAATCAAGAGCAAACACAGACATGAACATTAACACACACATACCTACAGTATAAAGCAAGTGGTTGTATGGTTAGCTCTATTTTACTTACAGATCCAATATTTCGAAAATATACCGCATACGGTTCTTACTTCTCACTTTCACATTTTCTGTTAATTCACAGATGTTTCATGGCCTATTCATTATCTCAGCCCTAACTGCTGATCCATCACCATGGTAACCAGCTGCCCAGCTATTTTACAGTGGGACTGAAAAATCTGGAGAAAATAGTCTCTATATCACCCATAGTAATAAATTGAATCCCAGCTATCACCGTTGTAACGCTCAATAAAAATACATAGAAATATATAATTGGTTGCAATGGGCAACACTTCCAAGTCTGTTAATTTAAATGGAGGAACCATAGGGAACCCAATAGCATCTTGAATTAAAGTGGAATTAAACTTTCCATACGTGCCTGTCCAACATTCCCTCGCAGGTGCTGGCATCTTCTTCTGAGTTCTGGTTGTCAGGCTTCTTCATTGGCTGGTGCAGGATGATGTCACTTTTGTGCATGCGCAAGAGCACTCATGAGCAGCTCAGCCTACAGTGCTAGAGAAGACAGCAAGCAGGCAGGTAAGGGGATTTAACTGCAATTAAAGCCTACCTGCTTGCTCTTACTGCGGAAATTTACTTACCGGCAGTTAACGAATAGCTCCCAAACTCTACTTGCGATCTGAAGCTTTCCGATCATGTGACCATTGTGACAGCCAATCATGGCTTTCACATGATCACAAACCCCGCCCTGACTCCCAGAATATAAAAACCCCTTAACCGCATTGCCACCGCACTATAGCAGAAACACTGCTAAAGGGCAGCATGGGTGAACACAATCACGTATATGTACGTGATTTTGCATTTCCGGGTAGGGTGCGCGCGTGACCCGCACACCGCAGGTCACGGCCACGGCTGTTAATTACTGGGTCCCGGACGGTAATTACTCACCGGCGCCCGGTGATTTCTGATGATCCCAGATGGGAGGGGAGGACTTTTTTGTTTACTAACATTCCTTCTCCCTGTCAGCTCGGGCACACTGCTTTGGATGGCTGTGCACAGCCATCCAGAGCAGTGTGATTACAGTGAAACACACACACAGCACCCCCCAGTAAAACACTCCAAGCACACAGTTAACCCTTTGATCACCCCTCATGTTAACCCCTTCTTCTAATGGCCCAGTGCCATTAGTGCAGTGTATGTGCTTTTATTAGCACTGATCACTGTATTGGTGTCACTGGGGATGTCATTTCCCCCCAGTGTCAGAATGTCCACCGCAGTCCCTCTATAAGTCACTGATCACCGCCATTGCTAGTTAAAATAAACTTAAAAATTCCAGTATATATTCCACCATTTGTAAACGTTATAACTGTCATGTAAACCAATTCATTTACATGTATTGGGATTTTGTTTTAGCAAAGACATTATTATTATTATTATTATTATTACTACGAGTTTATATAGCGCCAAAGGGTTTGCTCAGCGCTGTACAATAGGGGGGGACAATACATGGCACAGTACAACAAAGACAGACAGCGTACGAGGGGTAAGACATGTAGCAGAATACATTTTGGCCTAAATTTATAATGAAATTAGATTTTTTTACTGGACATGTTTAATAACAAAAAGTCAAAAAGATTTTTTTTTTTTCTCAAAAGTGTAGGTCTTTTCTTTTTTATAGCGCAAAAAATAAAAAACGCACAGGCAATCAAATACCACCGAAAGGTAGCTCAATTCATGGGAAAAAAAGGACTTACATTTGGGTGCAGCGTTGCATAACCACGCAATTTTCAGTTAAAGTAACGCAGCGTCGTAATGCTGGTCAGGAAAGGGGGTAAATCCTCAGGAGGGCAAGTGATTAAAGGGCCTGGGAGGCACCGGAGCAAACAGCTTAAAGCGGAGTTCCAGTCAGTTCTGTGTTTATTAAAAGTCAGCAGCTACAAAATCTGATGACTTTTAATAAAACACACACTTACCCGTCCCAGGGTCCAGCGATGTACTCACCCGTGCCGTCCCTTCTCTGCCTCTTCTCTCCCCTGAATCACAACTATGGGCACCCAGCTGTGACAGTTTACAGCTTCACAGCTGGGTGCCCACTGCACATGCACAAGTCACACTGCACATTCTCATTGGTCCGGCAGTCTTATGGGACCTGTGAAGGTTCCCAAGAGACTGCAGGAGGAAAAACTTCCAAACTTCCGGCTCACTTTGCCGCTGCAAACTGAGCCGAAAGTGGGAGCGGGTACCTGTCAAAACAGGTATCTGCTCCCCCCCAACAGGTGCCAAATATGGCTGTGGGGGGGGGGGCAAATAAGCAGAGCTTTCGCTTTTGAGTGAACTCCGCTTTAAAAAGTTTGAAAATATTTGTAAATCAGTAGTTAGTTTTTTGGTGATAAATGGCAAGCAACATTCCCCCTCCCACCAAATCATTGGTGATAGGTGGAAGTAAAAAAAAGTAACCACACCAATCATTAATAGTCCCAAGCAATAATTGCCCTACTTAACTAATCATTAGTTCTCCTCCTCCCCTAATCATTGGTACAGTTTAGTACAATCACCTAAATTTAGGCTGAATAAATTGAATTGAATAAAATTAGGTTGAAAAATTTAAATACCTTACATTCAAAATGTTAAACTGCTTACACATGTTAAATCTGATGGTACCTTAATATATAGTGCAGTACAGTTGTACTAAAAAGCTTTTGATCAGTAAAAAAAATAAAGTATATAAAGTATTAATGTGTGTGAACTGATATAAGAGGTAATGTGTTCATAACAATGTCATGTGATTGTATGAAACAGGTCCTGGACCTTTTTATCATGACATCACAGCATGTTGATCGCAATATATTTTAGTTTTGCATTATTTACATATCTCTACAATGATATAATGATGATAGTATAATGTTTTTGATCTGCCTATTATATTGGTTGAATAAAATTGTAGGTTATATAATTCACTGTGCACAGAGCTAATAAAAACAATTCTTATTTTTCAAATCACTGTTGCATAGATCCTTGATGACGTTGGTGTGATGAAACCGGTTGGGCGTAGCCTACTTGATGTGGACGTTAGAGAGCCTTGCTGTTCTGTGCTGTATGGGAGAGATCCGTGGTGAGCGTTAACTGTATCTCAACCCTTTTTTGCGATTGAAGCTGGTGTCTGTTGGACACCTTGTTTGTGAGTTTCCTTATACCTTTTTTATTAAAGAGATAAATGAAAAAAACGTATTGCACCATTATGTTCTCTTTTTTGTCCCTGAGTGTACTGCATGCTCTCATGGAGGTATGAGAAAGAGTGGAGAAGTTCATCATAAGAGCTTGGGCTGCAAAGTTGTTTGTCTGTGATTATTATTATCTGGAAGTATCTGAAACATCACCATATCTATTTGGACATCGGGTTCATTGCTCTCAGAGCACAAGCGCTGTTGCTGGTTTATAATCTGACCAGCCATTAGCTCTGGTGAGTTCATTTAATCTCCTTTGGTGGTGGATTTTTCACAATTGGTTCAAGTCACTGAAGATATATATATATTTTTTGGACACTAATTTATGTTTGGACACTATAATTATTTATTTAAAACACTAATGTTTTTTGGATGATGATATACACTTTTGTATAAGTTTGTTATTAGCGCATACCTTTTTAATTAGGATTATTGTTGCCAAAATTTATTTTGGGTGGGATATGCTGCTGACATTTTGGTTTTTTTTGTAAGTGGCGCTTTTTTCTTTTTTCATTTGGTATTCACTGTTGCATAGAACCTAAATCTATTGCATGCTCTGGACTGTAAGTGATCTCACATATGTTTTCATATTTTGCAATCCTCTGTAATATTAATAGATTGTATAATCTGATTTAAATAACGGTGGTCAGGTTTACTTCTCTCAATGGAAGTTCCCATATGTAGGTGTGGTACATGAGATCAGAAGAGCAGAGCAACGAAGAGTCACAAACAGAGGGAAGGAGGGAGATATTGAAGAGTTATAAGATACAACTGAATGCTGTGTTTTAAAGATGTCTTTAGCTGTTTATTTCCATTGTGTCTCTTTTGATTAAGTGTGTCTTATTCGAAATGGCACCTGAATGCTGTGGTTCTTCAACAGAACAGTTTTGCCTGTCTACTCCAAAGGTGACCAAAAATTAATTTTGTTTTCGTTGGACTGGGCAAAGGTTTAATGTCTATGGTGCCTGAAGACACCACCAGCTGAGGATCATCTAGGAAATAAGGATCTGTCATTTAAGAAAAATATGAGGTGACAGTTCATGTTTAGGGAGTGGGCAGCCTAAATTGTGTAACCTGGTGCTAATAACTGCCACTTTTTCAATCTCAGTCCCCTGCTGATTCTCTAACTGTATACAGCCCAGATGGATCAAGCCTGCAGGAGTGCCAAAATTAGAATCTGTTTCCTATGGTGGCGCACTGAGAAGAGGAGAGTCAGGACCACTCTGTACATCACCACCGGTATTGCTGACTGATATCTACTGTCTGTAGCCATTTTCAATGTTTGGAATGTGTGCCACTATACAACTCTTTGTGGAATCCATTGTGTGGAATCCATATCTTCCACCAGTTGGAGTCACTATGTGGGTACGTTAGACTAGGATACATCAATCCGGCTGCTATGTTCACTTTCTGATAAACATAGATAGCCCTGCCTTCCTGTCTTGCTTCCTGTAACATTCAATGATGACTGTTGACTATGCATGAGGTTAGGATTCAAAACCGAGCATGTTCACAGTTAGGCAAACAGACAGACAAAATGGCCATATTTAGTCATTTCACCTGCACTGCCACTGCTAAATGGCATGAGAGATCCCCAGCCCACTTCTGTTTACATCTAAAAGGGCTGAGGATTCTGGGTGATGTCATTGACCAAAAGCAATGTGAGGGTCTATGGGGGGAATTATCGGAATCTATATCTTTTAGAACAGGGGTCTCCAAACTTTGGTCCTACAGCTGTTGAAGTACTACAAGCCCCATCATGCTTCTGCCTCTGGGAGTCTTGTCTGCGGCAGTCAGAGTCTTGCAATGCCCCATGGGACTGGCAGTTTCTCAACACCTGGAGGGCCATAGTTTGGAGACCCCTGTTTTAGAACATTAGAGCCCTGACATATTCATTTGTTCCCTTTGTGGATTAATACAGGCTATATATAGCAGTACCCCTTGTTACTTACTGTTAAAAAAAAAGTACATAAAAACAGCCACAACATGAAAAAAGTCCTCTATTGAAAAATAAAATAAAATACGATGTAAATCCAACATTATGTACAGCATCTAACAATGTAGATCAAAGTCAATCATGATGAGTGCCACCTGACAATGTTGATCTGCCATCATGACGACCCACTGACCGATGATGCCTTGCTAATGCTGCCATGGTAAATGACCAATCCCCAGTGTGCTGGAATATAAACAACAGCGCATTGTATTCTGTGTGATTTGGTTAGCCAAATATGGTAATGCACCAGAAACTAGTCCCTTTGTTTACAAACAAAAATCAGCTGACATCTGGCATAAAGTGGCAGTAGTGCTACCGCCACTAAATGACAAATCCCCAGCCAATGTTTGCATACACACTTTTAAAAGAGTATGGCATACTGCATTTGAAACTTCACATGCGGATTTTGGGCATCCCCAAATCATGTTATTTAAAATGATTTTTGAATTTTTAATGTTGCCCTGCAGGGCACATTAACCCTCCACACTCAGTGGCATTTTTGTAATGTTTTTTGGATTGGCCCATGTTCCCCATAGCAACACAGAGCTGTCTATGCCCTTTTTAATAAAGCTTGCACATTAGCCTTGAAAAATTGAGAAAAAAAAAACAAATAACGTTTGGCTCCTGTAGACTTCAATGGGGTTTGGAATTTTCCAACTTCCTGACAGGTTCTGGGAATGTGCAAGGGAAACAAACTTGCCCAGTTTGCCGATCACTACTGTTGACATGTGTTCAATTAATATATTTTCCCTTAGCACACACAGGAGCCCTTCTCCCTCTCTTTCCCACACATCTGTTGTAACTGTCAACCATGGCAAAGACAGCTAACTCTTCCTTCAGGAAGTTGGGTAAGGCCAACTTTAATATGTGTTAATATGTGTTCCTTTAAATTGTGTTACCCAATTTACTTCTGGGTAAATCATACAGAGATAGATTATTTGTTGTACACATAATTTACCTATAACACTTCCAATGCTCTTTGTATGGGGAAGTCTGGCACAAACAGATACCCTACAGTCAACCATAGGAGTAACCCTATGAGGAGTACACAGCTGCCCTGATTTTGTGCCCTGTATCCAACACAGGGCTGGTGTCAGGAATGGACTGGCCAGCAATGGTGGGACTCACCTGCCTTTTGATCTGCAGTACCAGGGCTGGCCAGCGGATGCTCCCAGCAATCAGAGACTCAACTTTGCAGCCAGTCAAACACCTGGAACTGATTATGCTGGGGTATTTAAGGGATGGCCAGACCCACAGACTCTGCCTTGGTGTTGTGTTTGTCCTGGGCCCTGTATCCTGTTTGTCTGTCCTGCATCCTGTTTCTGAACCGCTGCTGACTTCTCCTGCTCTGATCCCGGCTCGCTCCTGACCATCCCTCTGCCTGACCCTCTGTACCACGCTGCTTGCTACCTGTTCTGATCCCTGGCTTGTGACCCTGACCATCCCTCTGCCTGACCCTCTGTACTACGCTGCTTGCTACCTGCTGAATCTGGCCTGTGACCCCGACCAATCTCCGCTTGCTCCCCCTGTACCTACCTGCCCTATTGATATTGACCCGGCCTGCCTGACGACGCTGCTTGTATGTACTGTTTGTACGCTTGTATGTACTGTTATCTGTGGGTGGTTGGTTTGGTTTGGTTTGGTTGCACTGTATTATGTTTTAGTATTGCACTGCGTTTATGTTTGTATTGTTAGTGTTAATAAATTATATTGTTTATAACATATCTGAGGTCTGCGTTTCCCTGCGTCAGCCACACACCTCTGGTCACACCTGGGAGCCCTGACAGCTGGATTTTCCATAAGCCACAATAGACACATACCTACAGGTGGCAAAGGAAAAGAGGTAGCTTCTCTTTGGGCATACATTTTTTTATTCATCTTCAGCAGAATTACAGTTGTCACAATATGTTAAGTCAAGTTAGGACCTGTAAAAAAAGAAAATGTTCTCGGCAAAAGTGTGATCCTAATTTAAGGTATTGCTTTGGGTGTCAAAGTTTGTGTTCCTACAGGCTTTCATGAGGATAACTTGACACTGTCAACATACTGTACTGTATGTGCCCTTCTTCTAATCACCTAATAAATAGAATATTATTCCTCTCTATGCCAGCAATTCTCAACCAGGGTTCCGTGGAACCCTACAGTTCCTCCAGAGGTTGCTAGAGGTTCCTTGAGATGTGGCTATTTGATCTCCCATCTGACCTGACTGAATAATTTCAGGCCCAATGGCACTTGGCATAGCCAGTGACCCGAAACCAATGATCTTTTAATCTGTTTGAAAGAGTGGCATTCTGAGAACCACTATAAAGGGGATGTTATTCCTTCTGACCACCATATAATAGACATTTTTCCCATTAACCCTCAATGAACTGGTTTTAGTATGGGTTCCCTGAGATCTGAAACCATTTCAGGGGTTCCCTGCGGTTAAGTGTCTGAGAATGACTGTTTTATGCTATAACTGGTGCACCATTGTTAATATTTTAATTTTAGCACTGAAATCAAGGGATTAAAGTGCAAGGACAGATGATGTGTGCTGAAAAATACACCTCTTTAATTTGCTAAAATGTTTGCTTTTGTGCTTATGTATGATGATCATGTAATGTCTCAGATTGGAGAAGTCTGGTGCCGTTGAGCCGTATTTGGTTTAAACAAAACAAGCTCTAGTGTGTGGGTGTTTTGACACATTGTTAGCGAATTTCTATTCATTTCAAGGCATCCAAGGCAAAATCCCTCCTGATAAATTTGATTTACTGCTGTTGAAGTTTGGACATCACCTTTTTATTCTTCTTTTTTAACATCACAGTTATATTTTTGTTGCATTGAACAAAAATTGAGAAAACAAAATAGAACAGAAGAATAGAATCTCATTACTTTGAAAAAATTCACATGAGGACAGACACAGGAAACTTAACATCAACCAAGTTTGGTTTATTTAAAATATAGTGTTAGTCTTTTAAATAATTTTTTATAGATGTGTGAGTCTGCCAACTCATTGAAAACCATGCACTCCCTGTGTAGCTAATATCTTCCTATAGCTGTTAAAGCCCAACTTCTGCTCAAACTTTTCTTTTGTCATTGTTTGGATTTTTCTTCGTTATTTTACATCCTACCTGTGTCCCCTGTGATCCTGGTTCTAAACCTTCCTCAGTGTGCTCGAAAATGTGTTTTTAATGTTGTGTAAATCCTCATAGGGGTATCTGTTCTATCTTTAAATTAACTTGTGCTTTTAGCACCTGTCTTTTTTGCTTAAATCAGGGGTATCCAAATTTTCTAAGCAAAGGGCCAGTTTACTGTGCTTCAGACATTAGTGGGATTAAAAAATGTCCCACCTTTGGTATTAGGGAAATTATTAGTGCCCCATAATTAGTATCAGCGGGAGGAATAGTATCATTGTTGGTGTCAGTGGAAGGAATAGTGCCCTGTTGTTGGTGTCAGTGGGAAGAATAGAGTCCCATCATTGGTGTCATAGGAATAGTGCCACATTGTTGGTGTCAGTGGGAGGAATAATGTCCCATTGCTGGTATCAATACAGAAATTATCGCCCCATTATTGGTTAATTGAAGAAATAGTGCCCCAAATACAAGACGAAGGCAAGCAAAAAGCCACATTTGGCCCTTGGGTCGCAGTTTGGAGACCACTGGCTTAAATAACCATCTCATGATCATCTTTTATCTGCAAGTGACCAGAGAAGCAAGGTGGCAAAACTGAATATGAATGCAAGTAGCAAGAATGGGGAAGATCATCCAAGCCAAATACACAGATGAATACATAAAAGTATAGCACCCTCCTAGTTAGCTAGGGGAGCTCTAGTTCAATTGTTAGCTGGAGGGCTGAGTAGCAGCCTGGGTGTGATAGCTAGCAGGCTCAAATTTGGGTCAGAGCTGAGAGGCTCTGCAGACCAGCTCTCTGGAATTTCCCCCTATTCTAGAACTTTGGGGAAGCACTGGGCAGATTTGAGGAGGAACTGGTCTGTACTCTTGGAGGACCCTGGCCACTCCCCAACAGGGCCAGAACAGCCTTTAAGAGTAACTGAGCCTGGGAGAATAAAAAAAGAAAATGTACTTACCCGATCCACTGCTCCTCCCTGCACCCAGACTGGTCCCTGCAGTATCTTCTCCCCCCCACACTTCAGTGGTCTAGGGTCCTGGTATCATCAAGACCAAAGCAGGGTCCATAGCCCTGTATTGGACTTGATGATGCTGAGGGACAGTCCACCACCAGAGCGCATGCTTGCTCTGTCTGCTGAGGAAGTGGAGAGAACAATTAAGTAAAACTGTTTCTCTTCTCCCCTAAACAAAATGAGCAATTGACGAATTGGTGCCAAGCGCATGCAAATATGTGGCCTCTCGGTGGTTCGGCCTTGGCGCCGAGGGGCCACGTATTTGCGTACCCAATGTAAATAAATAATGTGCTGAGAGCAAGCGCCCTGCACACTCATGGCACATTTACTGCTGCCTCACAGAAAGTTCCCGATCACTACTTGCGGTCGGAAGCTTTCCGATCATGTGACCACCGCGATAGCCAGTCACAGTGGTCATATGACCCTAAACCCTGCCCTGCCCACTGGCATCACAAACCCCTTAAAGGGCCAGGAGGCGCTGGTGCCAAAGGGGTTAAATGGACTTTCAGCTTATCGCTAACTACTCTTAAAACTCTCCCCTCCCCCCTCCTAACACCTATGCTTACTAACCTGTGTAAGAAAGCTCTATATACTTATCTATTTTCATCTATTATTACAGGTACTTATACAATGCCATCAATTTATGCAGCGCTTTACATATATATTGTACATTCACATCAGTCCCTAACCTTCAAGGGGAGTACAATCTAGGGTCCCTAACTTACATTCATACATAAACATACTAGGGCCAATTTAGAGAGGAGCCAATTAACCTACCAGCATGTCTTTGGAGTGTGGGGGGAAACACGCAGGCACAGGGAGAACATGCAAACTCCAGGCAGGTGGTGCCGTGGTTGGGATTTGAACCAACAACCCTAGTACTGCCAGGCAGAAGTGCTGACCATTTAGCCACTGTGTTGCCAATCTTGCTCCGGTCCGATTAGGTGATCCCCTGTGTCAGCCAGTGGGGGCTGCAGGGGATGAGGAGAGAGAGAGATCCAGAAGGACTAGCAAAGCCTGGAGTGGTGATATCACCCATAGGCTTCAATGGCCCACCCATTGTCTCCTCTCCCCTGCAGCTGTCCTGGCTGACACGGGAACTGGATCATGTGACTGGACTTGACCAAAGTGGCCTGAAAATAGGTAAGCATATACATCTTTCTTCACAATTTATTTAGCATAGGTGTTAGGAGGGGACAGTTTAAAGGGTAGTTAGGGTTAAGGGGGAATTCCACTTTAACCCCTGCAATGCTGGCACAGCCCAACTGCATTTACAATTTTCCCGGAGTTGTGCTTTACCTTTTCCTAAAGAAAAAAATCATTACATTAGGGTATATTCCGATTAGTCATAACTTTATGACCAATGACAGGTTAATTACATATCATTGGTTATCTAATTACAATGGCATTTGAAAGCTGGAAGGATCTATTAGGCAGCAAGTAAACATGTTGTTCCTGAAGTTAATGTGTTGAAACCAGAAAAAATGTGCATCGCAGTTTGTTGTGTATGGGGCTGTGTAGCCACAGACCAGTCAGGGTGCCCATGCTGACCCTTGTCCATAGTCACAAGTGTCTACAATGTGCCCATGAGCATCAGAACTGGACCAGTGGAAGAAGGTAGTTTGGTCTAATGAATCATGTTTTCTTTTACATCACGAGGATAGCCGGGTCTGTGTATGTTGCTTACCTGGGGAAGAGGCATTCAGAATGTAGTAGGGAAGAAGGCAAGCAGGTGGAGGCAGCATGATGCTTTGGACAATGTTCTGCTGGGAAACCTTGGATCCTGCCATTCATGTGGATGTTACTTTGACACGTACTGTACTACTTACCTAAACATTGTTGCTGACCAAGTACACCCCTCATGGAAACGCTATTCCCTGAAAGCAGTGGCTTCTTTCAGCAGGATAATGTACCATGCCACATTGCAAAAAAAGTTCAAGAATGCTTTGAGGAACACAGCGAGTTTGAGATGTTAACTTGGCCTCCAAATTCTCCAAATCTCAGTCCATTGAGCATCTGTGGAATATGCTGGAAAAACAAGTCCAATCAATGGAGGTCCCGCCTCGCAACTTCCAGGACTTAAAGGATCTGTTACTGATGGTTTGATGTCAGATGCCACAGCATACCTTCAGAGCTCTAGTGGTGTCCATGTTGCTATGGGTCAGGGCTGTTTTGATGGTAAAAGGGGGACTTACTTGTACCTAATATTAGGTGGGTGATCATAAACTTATGGCTGATTGGTGTATATTTTTTTTATTATCTACGGGTAAAGCATAGGTTTTTACATTTCGGTCACTATTCTTTTGCAGAACAAGAGGTAACAAACTGCATGGAGCTCTACGTACAGCTTTCATTAAAGGGACCCTTAAATATCAGGCACAGTGTTCATTTTTATCCTTGTTTGTTTGTAGACGAGTGTTGTCTTTATTTATGTGTTTAATTTGTTGTCTGCTCTGTAACACAGCAGTCACTCTCCGTTATTTCTAAACTTAACTGAGACTTTGCAGAGATGCCAAGTTTGTGAAAGTGCCAGGATATATATGAGTT